ATAATACTGGAAGTCCTAGCCAGAGCAATAAGACAAGAGAAAGACATCCAAGGAATCCAAATAGGAAAAGAAGAAGTCAAACTATCACTATTTGCAGATGATATGATAATATACATAGAGAACCCCAAAAACTCCACAGAAAAACTAATTCAACTCATCAATCAGTTCAGTAAAGTGTCAGGATACAAAATCAACATGCAAAAGTCAGTAGCCTTCCTATACACAAACAATAAATCTGAAGAAGAAGAAATCAAAAAAAACCATCCCTTTTATTATTGAAACAAAAAAAAATCAAATATTTGGGAATAAATCTAACAAAAGAGGTAAAGGACCTATACAAAGAAAACTATAAAACACTGTTAAAAGAAATAGAAGAAGACACAAAGAAATGGAAAGACATCCCCTGCTCATGGATTGGAAGAATAAACATTATTAAAATGGCCATCCTACCAAAAGCAATATACAGATTCAATGCTATTCCAATCAAAATCTCAATGGCATTCTTCATAGAAATAGAACAATTATTGATGAAATTCATATGGAATCACCAAAAACCCCGAATAGCCAAAGCTCTACTGAAAAAAAAAGAAGGAAATGGAGGCATCACACTCCCAGACTTCAAACTCTACTACAAAGCCATAATCATCAAAACTGCATGGTATTGGAACAAGAACAGACACACAGACCAATGGAATCGAATAGAAAATCCAGAAATAAACCCACAGATTTATGGTCAACTAATCTTTGACAAAGGAGCAAAGACTATGCATTGGAGCAAAGAAAGTTTGTTCAATAAATGGTGCTGGGAAAACTGGGTCGCTACATGCAAAAGAATGAAGCTTGACCACTACCTCACACCATACACAAAAATCAACTCAAAATGGATTAAACAACTAGACATAAGACCTGAAACCATAAAATACATAGAAGGAAATATAGATGAAACACTACGTGATTTGCACATCAAAGACATCTTTACAGACACATCACCCAAAGCAGTGATAGTGAAGGCAAAGATAAACAGCTGGGACTACATCAAATTAAAGAGCTTCTGTACAGCAAAAGAGACAATAACAAAAACAAAGAGAAACCCCACCAACTGGGAGAACATTTTTGCACCCAACACTAATGATAAAGGACTGATCACAAAAATCTGCAAAGAGCTGATGAGACTCAACAACAACAAAGAAAATAATCCAGTCAAAAAATGGGCAGAAGAGCTAAAAAGAAACTTCTCTGAAGAGGAAATGCAAATGGCCAACAGGCATATGAAAAAATGTTCAACATCACTTGTAATCAGGGAAATGCAAATCAAAACTACCATGAGATACCATCTTACACCAGTGAGAATGGCACATATTAAAAAAACTAGCCACAACAAGTGTTGGCGAGGGTGTGGAGAAAAAGGAACTCTTCTGCACTGTTGGTGGGAGTGCAAACTGGTCCAACCACTATGGAGAGCTGTGTGGAGATTTCTGGACCTACTAAACATAGAGCTTCCATATGATCCAGCAATTCCACTCCTAGGTATTTACCCAAAGGACACAGAAACATCAATTCCAAAGAACACCTGCACCCCTATGTTTATAGCAGCACTGTTTACAATAGCTAAGCTTTGGAAACAGCCCAAATGCCCAAAAATAGATGACTGGATCAAGAAGATGTGGTACATATATACCATGGACTATTACTCAGCATTCAAAAAAGATAAACACATGCAATTTGCAGCAACATGGATGGCGCTGGAAGGGATCATGCTCAGCGAAATAAGCCAAAAAGAAAAAGAAAAATACCGGATGGTCTCACTCATAGCAGGAATCTAGAAAACTTAAATAAGGGACCAGAAAAATGAATAACTATAAGAAAGCGAAAATCAAAATCAACAAAAAACTATGAACCAGAGACACTTTTTGGGGGTGAGGGGCGGGAGGGGAGGGATTGGGGTCAGAATGGGGGGGTTGCAATTGTATGGGGAATATAAAAATAAAATTTATTATTTAAAAAAAAAAAAGAACTTGGCATTGTTTAAAAATGTTGAAGGTCTATATGCCTTATGTCTACTAGAAATACATCCTGGATAAATTATCAAGCATGAAAATTAGTAGATGTGCACAAAAGTGTTATCTGTACTATTATTCAGATGACCAGAAAGTAAAAACCCACCTATTATCAATATAAAAAAGCTAATTTGTTACACCTAACAGAATGGAATAGTTTACCAATGAAAATACATGAAATACAGCTTCATTCATCTCTGTGGTTAACTGTCACAGTCAATGTAGGCCAAAAAATAACCCAAGTCAAATTAAAGTTCCGAAAAGCAGAAATAGACAATGCCCAATAATACAATGTCTTGCAAATATGTCTCAACATAAATAAAATACAGGGTGGTGGTTTCCTCTTGGCAGCAGCAGACTGGGAGGGGATGTGATGAGGGAGTACCCAAGGCTCAGCAAAGAAGTAATGATGCACGATTCTTCAGGAGGTTCACAGATATTCATTGAATGATTCCCCCAATTTGTGCATACAAATTATATGCCTCGGGTTATAAAAATTGAATATGCTGTGTTATAAAAATTGAACATTGGCAAATCTCAGACCTTCATGCTCAGTTTCTATAGAATCACATTCCAAACAGTATAGCAAAACAGCTCCCATTAATCATTTTAAAATGAAATTTTAGAAAATATATGACAAATCTGAAATAATCTATCATTCCATTCTCAGGATCTCTCCTCTTCTATTGACCATACAAGGCCTAGCCCAGTGTTCAAAATTTATTGTTTGCCTGAGGAAACAAGTGAAAATATTTATCCTTATGGCCTTTCTTCCTTGATAAATAATTTCAATTTATGCTCAACTCTATGAAAATCTAGGATTTTCCAACAACGGATGAGACGCTCTTAGTCCCAGAAGAGTGCTAAGATGGCACTGATCTGAAGGTCTCTGCAGGCTGACTTTCAACATTGTAGGCCCACAAGGAAAATGCAATAAGAGACTTTCCCAAAAGGAATCAGTCTTATTCAGAATTCTGATAGCCACTATGCAATAGTTTTATTCTCACTGGAAAGTCTCTACAAGGCAACTCATAGCAAGATTCCTGTTAAGCTTTTTAGTAACCATGCCAGCTATGATATAGAATCTATTTGTCAAAAATTATAAACTGGGGGCTTCCCTGATGGTGCAGGGGTTAAAGTTTCAGTGCCATCAAGCCATTGCCATCCACTGAGGCTTGGGTTCAATTCCTGGTCAGGGAGCTAACCCACACTGCGTAGCAGACCTTTCCTGTCTTGCCTGCTGCTCCCTTCAGCAGTGTATTTCAGTAGATTTGCCTATTCTGCTCTCCGCTCTGTCCCTGGTGAATCCTCTCATCTCCTGTACCTCTGGCCTACATCTCCATTCTTATATGCAAAAATGAATAAAAATAAATCTTTAAAAATTATGAACTGCTATCACACTAGATGATATCACACTGAGATCAGACTTAATCTCAAGCCTCATCACTGTTGACTGGCAGTGTTTCAGCCTATATTCAAGGAGATTTGGTCAATACCCCAGGGAGCAGTTCATTCTGGAGTCATTCACATCCTCATATAAACAGTCTACCTGTTTTGTATTTTTAAAGCTCCTTAAGCTGCCTCGTGATTTGGGCAACTAGAATTTACGATACAACCTTTGCTTCCCCAAAATCCATTTTTGGGTTTACATATATAACAACCTTTTAAGACTGAAGAGCTCTGTTCCTTCTCCAATCTCCCAGATCACCCTAGTTTCATCACCTGATGTTCTCTGTACCTCCTCCAGCTCCTTCTTCAATTTCCTCACCATTATGATAAAGGCCAGCAAAACCCCATGCTCTACTTTGCTTATTAGAGCAACTGGCACTGGTATCTTGTGGTCATGATGCGAGGTGCTCCTTAGAATAGCTAAATGTTGGTGAGTTCCCACTGCACAAAAGCAGCTGAGGATGAGAAAGTACTAATGTGGGTATTTGTGTGCTCTCCGCCTGAGCAGAGAGCTTATCACTAAATGGGATGATTCAGCATTTAAGCTGTATCATCATCAAAGTCAAGCAATGATTATGGTGCTTGGTATCTTAGGATGTAGGGGGAAAAAAACCACGCAGGCCTCATAAGGGCTCATATTCAAGAAGACAAGCTAATGACATTGTTTGGGGAATTTGGGCAGGTTAAAGAAACAAGTGGCTTTAAAATATCAGAAGTACCCTAAGAAAGTTCAGTTTTCCTTTCTATTTCAGGACTGTCAATTCACCTCTGCAGGATTGTGAAAAGGACGCAAATGGAATAAAAATATCACCACCACAGTCTCGTGTTTAAAATGCAAACATGAATATATGGCATCACTACATAGCACTTCTGCCCTTTCTCCCAAGTTCCAAATTGGATTTGACCTTCTACAGATTAGTTTTGCCGGTATCTGTACTTTTCAGACTGAACTCCTTATAACTTGGATTCTGTATTTTAAAATGTGTTGCCAACTCTTCTCAGTCATTCTCACTTGTGAGGTTAAGGCTAGAGATCTGATCATAGAAAATGAGACTGAGGTGACCCAGGAACGTGGGCAACGACCTGATACTCAGGGTCAGGCAATGGTCTCTCAAAGTTATGGTTTCTCAGCTGCAGATCACAGTTACTAGGATGCTGGGATGCATTTAGCACAAACAACCGAAGAAAGCTCTAAAGAAAATGTGGAAAGAGGATAGGCTGTGTCTATCTTCTCTAAGGGAACAGCTAGGAACTAGAAGGCCAAGAAGAGAGAATGTTATTCTTTAATATTGCTTTCATGAATAATTCCTGAAATTTTTAAAATGGATATTGTTAAAGACCCATTTCTGGAGAGGAGCAAAGAGTTTCTGAAGCAATGGCTATATGTACGTTGGCATGAATTTTATACTTTGTCCCCCAAATAAAAGAAGGTATAAGTAATCTGCTTGCATGCTGACCAAGAAGCCCCCCAAAATGAAAAAATGCTGCACTCACATTGGTGACATATTCGATATCCTTCCAAAGAATGCACTCCCTGGGGAAATCCGCCAAGTCTAAGAAGTGGTCCACCACCACTTGGCCAATTAAGTCATGACGAGAAAACCTATCAAAGTCGTACACAGAGAAGTGCAGCTTCCGTGCTTCAAGGTCATTGTAGGGCACCGGGAACAAAAACACCTCATTAAACACAGGGTTCAGGGTCTTTCTGTGAACTTTAGTCTGGTGTTTCGTTTTCCGATCAGGAAGCAAATAGATCTTGACATAAGGATCTGAAGTCCCAGAAAAGTCCTTGGCGGGCAAGTTGACAGCTTTGTGGATCTTCACTATGAGCTGCTCTAAGTCACAGTCATATTTTAAAATGAAATTCAGTTTCCCACAGGCTTTGCTGTTACTCCTTCTCCCATCGTCATTATCCAATGACCTCTGCTTGTATAACTCGGGTTTAATTCGACCAATTCCAGTCAACTGTTCCTGTTTTTGAAGCTGCTGGATATTGAAGTCCGGATTTGACAGGTTGAGTTGTCTTCGAATTGAATTATGCCTTGAGTGAAGAGCAAGAGAGAACAAAGTTATAACCTCATTAGCTATGGGTCTTTCAGAAACTTGGGCCTTGGATGTAGGAAGACTGTTAGGCTCTGTTAAGAGCTTAGATCCACGGGCTATTTTCTTTTTTGGCCTAAATTCAAAATGTTCATCAATGTAAGTAAGTTGCTCCCAAAGGCTGGAAGCTCAAAATTGAGGCTTGGTATCAGGAAGTGAACTTACCAACATGTGACCTCGGAGCCTTAAAGGCTTAATGTACTTTCTAAACTAGTAAGCCATTAAAGAAGCTTATTGTTCTGGTTGACTATAAAGATTTGTACAAACTGATTTTTAAAAACTCATTCACCTTATGTATAATATCATCCTGAAATTAAAATAGTTGTGTCTTAAGAAGAAAGACTGGTTCTCTAAACTACACAGAATTTCCTGTCACTGGTTTATAGCTTTATAAGAATATAAATTCTCGCTGGTGAAATCAAATCATTTCATCACAAGAACACAGTTTCTGCTCTTGTGAGAATGTGTGTGACAGGATGTGTCTGCTTGCAGTGGATTGTGTTGGTTTTGACAGCTGCAAGTGACAGCTCTGTGATAGTCCATGTGGGCGATTAGTGATCAGGAGAGAGGTTTTCCTTTCTGTAATAAATACTAACAGTATAAAAAGTAAAGGTAAGCTACTATACACGTATGTAGAGAAGGTTGGAAAGTGATATTTGTGAATTAAATATTTGCCCAGAGAATTTACTCTTCACCCAATAAGATTATTGGTTTGGGTAGAAGTTTCCCTGAGATTCTCCTTGAAACATGACTCATCTATGTGGGTCCTAGCAAATTGCAAGAAGTAGTCATTACAGACAAGGTTGCTTTTAAGGTTATTTTTATTTTCAGCTCAGAATTCAGTCATTCTAATGTATTTTCTGCAGTCTCTCAATAACTTTAATTAAAATAGCCTCTCCCTACCAGAGGTGAGATGGAGCAGCTAGGCTGTGTCTGAGGGACTGGTAAATAGTTGGATAGGCAGAGCAAACATTTGAGTTTATCTTCTTTTCCTTTCTTAAGACTACTTTTTGAAATAAAGTTATAAAGATAAGAATAGACCCTAAAACATATTTGAAATCATTCTGTCATAACACAGATGTTGTTATGCTAAACATTCTTCCTCATCCTAAGATACCCACCTGATCATTTATCACCCACTTGGTATCATAAGGTATCACAAGAGCATAACCAGAGCTGTCCTTGCATCTGTCACGGCCAACAAGTTCCAGTATAAGCAGACTCACCACAGGGACTCATATTCCTCCATGTGTAAAACCTGTGTGGTTTCTATTGTGAGATTTTGTTTCTTACAGAGAAATATGCCATTTTTAAGCTTTCTCTGTACCTTACAGCTTGTTGGGGGAGAGTGAGAGAGGCATGGGTGTTGTTATGTGCCTACGACTGGCCCTCTGAGCTCATACTGCCAGGTCATTCCCTTCCCTACCTGTTAAACCTTTGCGGTGCAGAGGTACAATGTTAATCTCACTCTACTGGAGCTCTAGGCATAAAGCACAAACAGCCAGTCCTATGCAGAGATGAGAAGGGTTTGAGTCCTGGTTTCTTCTGCAATTGACTTTATTCTCCAGGTTTGATTAAAGCAAGGGCCCTACCCTTGGACCCTGAGTCATTTTCAACCTTTTATAGACTTTTCTGGATGTGAGTGCTGTCATTTAAATGCATGCTAAAAGTGCTCCCTCAAGACCCACTTGCCTGGACAACCTCTGTGGTGGAGCACCAGTCCTGAGTCTATACCGGCCCCAACCCTTCCATTCTGCTACCATTTTCTCCTGACGTGGTTGCTGAGCAGACTGTGCGTGACTTACCTTCAAGTTTTTTAGAGCATTGGATTTAAAGTCATAGTAACATTTTGTCTTAATCCTCATCTATAGGACATGTAAATTTATACTTAAAATACATTAATTTGGCTGCTTAGCAATGGGACATGCTCTTTGGCACTTAAACATTTTCTTATACATGAAATCTGAAGAGAACTATGTTTCACTTGCTCTGTTCTTTCTAATCGCAATAGTCTGCCAAGTGGATAAGAAGGGGTGGATTGAGGAAAGCATTATAGAGCCATTTGGATTTTAAAAACCAAAACAAGATCCTATTCCTTCAGAACACAACTGCACAGGCTGCCTCCATTCAAAATTCCAATACAGCTGAAAATTCTTTTAAAAAATCAAGCATGAATATCATCACTTACCCAAACGTTTTAGTTTCATTCCCAAATCTTTTCCCCTCAATCAGAATCACACTTACTATTGGGAAAACAGTTGAAACCAACTATAAGGTAGTGTCTCAAAGCAGACAGCAAGAACTATAACAGGCCATGACAGTTCTCACTCCCTGGGGCTCTTTTTCCATCATTTTCAATTTTCTTTCAGAAAGAGCTCGAGATTACTGGATTGGAAGGGTTGGCCTGAGAAGCTCAGAGCAGCCAGAGAATCAGGGTAACTCATACTCTCCCTGCATAACCTCTGCAGCTCCCTAGACTGAAAAATGAGAAAGCAGAGCAAGGAGAACTGCCCCAGGGACATGAAGATGAGGAGAGGAAATGGAAAATCAATATTCCACAGCTCTTATAGGCTACTCAAATGGAAGCGGGAAGAAAAAGTCAAGTCAAAAGCAAAAGAGAGGAAAGATATGGAACACAATGTGGTCTGGCTCTCCTCACCTCAGAAAAAGTGGTTATAAAATGGTCAGTAGAGGTGATCCTTGAGTACAGTAAGTTAGAGGACCCTCAAAGGGTCTAGAATCTGGATGCCACTGAGTGATACTGAGTGTGCCAAAGATGGTATGTGCCTGAAGCAGACCCCATCTTCTAAATAGTCTTGCAGGTAGTGCTAGGGCTTAAATGTGCACAGTGAATGGAAGGCAAGGAGATGAGTCCTGAGGACCAAGGGTGACAAAGAAATCTGGAGGTGGTGCCCTCTGTAAATAAGTCACACGCTAATGTCCTGGGAAGCTGCTTTCTGGGGTCAGATCCCGCAGCTTCCTCTGCCTCCCATTCTCCCTCAGTGCAAGCAGAGGCCATTTTCCTGTTATGGAAGAGATAAGGAAGAGAGTGTAAGGACTGGACTTGTCTGTCCCAGACCTGTGCTAGAAGGTTGGTGGTTGAACCTGGAGGAAAAAAATAGTTTCAACAATGACTAATAAAATCTATACAGCAGATGTCCCACAACCAATTAAAAATGACTTTCATCCCTGAAGGCATCTGAGTTTTGTGCTGAACTGTGACCAAGAGTCAGGAGAGGCGGGGCACAGAGACAAAAGTCTTTCTTTTTCCTTTTCTTGAATTTGAATGACCAATTCCTATGTTCCACCTTGAGTCCTCAATAAAAGTTTCAGTCCCTGCTTCATCACCCACAAAGGCAACTGCCTTCATTAGATCTTAGGAAAAAGTACATTAATGCCATTCAACATATTTCAATATGCAAAGCAAGGGGTCAGGTCGGGTGGAAAGCAAAGCAGGGAGTGGTCTAGGGGATGATGAGATAATCACACACTAACTATAAAGCAGGGCAAAGAGGATAAGAATCCACTGGAAACTAGAATACCACAGAAGCAGAGAGGGAGAGACAAAGGCCTCTGGCCTGGGAAACTGTCCTGGAGGAGCTGTGTGATGTAATGCCTAACAGCTGACTTTTCTTTTTGTAATGGAAGTAGCTGACTTGAGCTCTGATGCCAGGTTTCCACTTCAAAGAGGGCGGGCTCAAGTAAACATCGCCAGCCTAACAAGGAGAAACAGTCAGGTGCCTCTCTGCACTGGGACACCTTTGCTTTACAGATCCTGGTTTTTTAGATAACTGACCATTTGAGACCACTTACAGTGTTTCCTTTTTCTTTCTCTCTTTCTGGGCTTCAAATTCCCACTCTTACAATTTAAATTCACCATTAAAGAGCAAGCCCTGGAGACTCTAGACCTTCCTCCCTTGACCCCAATAAAAGCAGCACCTCAGGCCCATTTTGTCTCTCCTCTACCCTCCTCTCTCTCCCTATGCGCCCCCAACTCCAGCCACTCCTGCCCACCAGTCAACATTACTGTGGCCCAGGTGTGCTGTGTAACTTACAAAGTCTTGCAAGTAATAAACCTCTATTTCCGCAAAGTCTCCTGGCAGTTATGCTGAGGGCATCTTGTAATCAATAAAAACCACAAGGACTAGTCTGGTCACAACACAAATTATCAACTGCCTGAGGCATGCCGACACAAACAAGATGGGACCTGAATGAGTCTGCCTACTTAACCGGGCCTTATACTCAGCAGCCTCCATACTTATCTAGATCTCAGCAGGGAAATTAAGTTTTTGTCTTGGCTTCCAGCTCTCCAGCAAAATGGTGCCTTCAACTCTTCTGCCTCAACAGCTTCCTCCTCAGATATGCCCACTGGATCTTCCATTCCAGCCTCTGTGTAAGAGCCAGCACTCAGCATCTCCAGCATCCCTTCCATCTATGCGTTTCCTGTGCAACTTCACACAAGTGTGTGATCTTCTACACCACATCTTATCCCATCTCAGTGAGCCCCTCTCAGCAGTTAAGTGAAACCTGGCCTATCCCATCCCTGATTCTGGGGCACCCATATTGACAAGGCTTCGGGGTCCAAGTTGAGGAACGAGGGAGGCAAACTATGATTTCTGAAGCATCAAGGATTTATTTACTAGGTTCAAGACAGGAACATTCGAAATACCCTGGTGATGGAACAGGATCGGGCCATCCTTAACTGGAAGAAAACACAGAAGAAGGGAAAGTCTAAGACAAGGAATGATGCATACAATGAAGGAGGACATGGGAGTCTGAGGTCTGAGGTCTTGGCCTGGGCTGCAGAGGTTTCATGAGTAAGAGAATAAAGACACAGACATATAGCCTTGGCCGAGGGAGGTGTGGTTGTGGGCAGCTGCAAGCTGAAGCATGACCTGCTCTCCCACACCCTTCAAAGTCAAATGGACTCAAACCTTGGTGTCATCATTAAATATTTCATCCCATTACTGGGATGAGCCTATGTCTACCAACACTTTTTCTAATGTAGCACACACTCCAGGCCTCTTTCTATTCCCATTTCTCCCAACTGAATTCAGGCCCTCATCATTACAGGCCTGAACTGGCTCACTGTATCCAGTCTTTACTCCTTCCCATGCATCTTATACTTGTTTGCCAAATTACTCTTCCAAGGAACAATGTCAGCCATCAGTGTGTGTAACGGGCTGTGCTTGTTTATTTTCCCACCTGGACAAAGGGCCTTTTAGGCCAAGGATATATCTTCCCTCTTTCCAGGACATAATACAAAACATTGCACAGAATAGATGCTTAATACATGTGTCTAGGGTAAACATAAAACTACCATGGACGTAAGTTTTCTTTTTTCTTTTTCTTTTTAAAGACTTATTTATCTATTTATACAAGCACTGGGTACAGTCAGAAGCGCGGGAGGGTGAGAGAATTCACCAGAGCCAGAGCAGGATGCAGAACAGACAGACTGACGAAGTACACTGCTGAGGGGAGCAGCGGGCGGCAGGAGAGGTCTGCGCGCTATGTGGGACCCTCGCCTGGTGGCCGGGGATCGAACCGGTGCTGCAGAGGCTGCGGGCAGCTTCGCAAGCCAGGGCTCAACCGCTGCGCCACCAGGGAGGTCCTATGCACGTAAGTTTTCTATAATCAAATTACAGTACAGAAAATACACATTTACCTCTAATTTCAGGATCTCATGGAAGTTGAAGGGGTCTAGGCAACTTCCATTTCTGAAGCTGTCAGTTAATTAAAATGTGAAGGTATAGCTAAAATAGTAATTCAAAGACTGTTGTTTTAAATGCTCTCAGCAAACAAAAGTAAAACTTAATAGAATTGTGTTACACCTAGAGTAATAATATTTAATCCTATTCATAGAGTAATAACATTTAATCCTAGAGTACTACTATTTACCGGAGTTGTGGCCATAGTGAGATCCCAATTTCAAGTGTGATAACTCTCCTTTCAATTCTTAGTGTATTTCTGTGACTTTAAGGATTGCTTAGTTCAGAGGTAAGGCCAAAAGTTTATGTGTAAGGCTGTTAATGAAGCGAGACCTGGGATAAATGGCATCACATCATTTGAGACCCTACCCAGTCTATACTTTTGGTCCTTTGCCATTCTTGTCATCAGAACATAAGAAAAGTGGGTTGATAATAACCCATGTATTCTGTCTGTCATTCATGAAAAAGTTTTCTCTGTGCCACAGTTGCACACAGGAATACATATAGGAGACACAAAACAAATGCGGTCTTAAGCTCACAGAACTCAGTCAATAGCGGGATATAGGTAACAAACAAAATGATCACTAAGTTATAAATAGAGTTCAATCCTAAGAATAGGTTAAAGCAAGGAAATGTGTGAGAGAATTAAGAGGTGGGGGGGGTGGAGGAAAGAACAGATACTTCAGGTAGAGTGAACAGGGACACCTGTCTAAGAAGGTGACATTTTAGCTGGGGCATTAATATGCAAAGGATCCGGGCATAGCAAGGAAAAAGGAAAAGCATTCCAGGCTGATGGAACAGCATGTGTGAAGCCCTCAGGGCAGGAAAAGGTTTGGGATACTGAAGGAACTAAAAGAGGCTAAACAGTGAGGAGTATTTTTCAAGTAGAAAGCCTGCTACTGGGTCCATGTTACAGTGTCCTCTGGGGGCGTCACATGTTGCTGAGGCTGACAGTGATAGAAGCAGACTATGCAATATCACATAGGATGTTAACAGATCCAATAAGCAGTTTGTAGTGAAGTAATTGACATTTTTATAAAACCACACTGTAACATGGGATATTTGAGAAGGCTTAAAAAACAGGTTAAATTTTCACATCTTAGGAAGTGAATCAGATGATCAGACAGTCTTTCAAGGTTCCCTCTATTTGGGCATCCCAGAATTTTCATATATTTGGAGTAGAGACTTTTACGATGTTCCGGTATTAAAAAATTCTGAGAAATTCACATTCCCAAGATATTAGGTCATTATACAAAAGGGTTTCTTTTCAACTGAAAAGAATTAGCAGGATTTTCTTTTTTTTTTGGGGGGGGAGGCTTATGGAGGAGGGGCTCCTAATAGTAACTGGACTAATTAGAAACAGAATGCTACTGTGCTTGATCTTGGGAGAGCAAAGTCACCCTGTCTAGAAACATCCACGGAAGATGAAGCACAGCTCATTTTCAGGATATGCCAAAAGATATGAATGGGAGCCATACATGCCTGAGCTGAAGGGGTGAAGACGGGATTTCCAGAGTAAGTGCTCTCCCAGAGCCATGCCAGTGGCAGTGACAGTGGGGATGCCCTTAACTGGGACTCTAAACTTTATATCTTCTGAGTTGAGGGGGTGTCCTGGGGATTTCAGCCAACTGATAATAACTACAGGAGGGCAGCTGTAAGAAAGGAAATGACAGTAGTGAGAAAGTAAGGCACGTAAGGAGAAAGAAGGGAGAAGAAATTATAACTAGAAGAGCAGACTTTTAGAGCCATCTCAGCAAACAGTACCTTCCCCCTCTCCAAATATGGTATCAAAAATGTTCTTAAAAAAGAATGTTAAAAATGTTTTAGAGCATGAAGTAAATTTCATTCATTTTCCCTATTTTATCTGTAAGAAGGTTACTTGTGTGCATGTGTGTGTATATTTATAATATAACACAATCCCTAAAGAATAGGAAGACCATATACCATTCTTATTTTGGTATGATCATGAGTCAAAGATATGTATATCCAGACATAAGCCACAAAACTAGGTCAGCAGTAATTTAGATAAGAATGTTTCAAATGCATAATGATGTAAATGATCAGCATTAGCTCAAAAGAAGCTGGAAAGAGTTTAGTTTTCTAATGATAATTCAGATGTTACTAAACTTGATTTTGGCCAACAGAAAAATTAATTTAATTGAATGACTCCAAAACCAAAATCAATCTAAATGTAAAATTCATTTTATAGGGATAATTCCTTTATTCTTCTCTTCTTATTTTTACCCATCTACCTAAATCCTACAAATCAGTGGTGAAGCTATCAGTTTTTATTTTTAAGTGAAATATATTTCTTGATATGTAGCTTACACATTTTTCTAAAATAAATAATGTAGTGATTACAGTGATATGATTGCTATGAATTCATTAGAATTATGGCAGAGTGCTCAGATCCACAATCTAATAAAAACACAGAACCATCACCCTGTACTGATGGAACCCAGATGAGAAAAATTAACATGCAGACTAAAACTGAATCGGAGACAATTTCAAGAGAGACTCTATCTGAAAGCTAGTTACTGAAGTACTGAAAGGATTTTATTATGAGTCTGTACCATAGCACAAACCCCATGGCAGCATCAAACTGAGCTCCAGTTATATTTAAGTCTTAAATCTGAAGAGAAATCCTACTGATAAAATCTGAGGATTTCTTCTAAATCAATTGCAAACAATCATCCATTTCCTCACAGAGGAATATGTTAGGTTTAGCTCTTTAATTCAGAATTGGAAATGATGCTAAAATAGGGTTTTGAAAAAATTAAATTATAAACTATCATATTCCATCCTACTTAAAATGAATGAGCAAAGACTCTAGGATAAACTTGATTAACATTAAAAAGGGCAAAATTTTATTTATGCTTCTAGAAAACAAAAAATATTTTTAAAAGAAATATCCCCAAACTGGGCTTGTACTTTCCATATAACAGCATGTGCAACTCCTCCGGCTAGCACTCAAGCAAGAAAGCTGCTTCCTGACTATTTTCCTGAAGACTCTTACTGAAAATGAATTTTATTGGCTGTTTGACCTTGGAGCCGCCATTGTGCAACCTCTGAGATCTGGAAGAGCAATACTGACAGCAAAATGGTGGCACCTGTTCAGAGCCTTTCCCAGGGGCAGGCCTGTGCAGAGCACATGATGCACATGTTAACCATTTCATTCTTAAAATCACCTCGATGTGGGTATATCACTATTCCTCTCTCATAGAAAAGGACATGGAAACATGTGGAAGTTGAGTAATTTGTCCAGTGTCAATCATGTAAGGAAAGCTGTTCATCTGCCCCCAGAGCTGTTGCTTCTTATCACAGCCTAGTATTGTTTCTCCCCTGCTTAAAAGCACAAAGCGTCCTGCCTATAGAAAGAGAGTGAACCTAGGCCTTAAAGAGAGTGACTTTTTATATCTCTCAAAGGCTAAACATGAACAAAGACCCACAGTCACTTAGTGTGACCCAAAGAGAGCCTGTCAACGAGGACAGACCAGAGGCACAGGGAATAAAACCACAGGAGGAGGACAGCAAGGAATAGTGGTTAAGAGCTCAGGTTTTGGTGTGCTTGAACCAGCGTTCAAACCCTGACTTGGGTCCATACCAATATATGACTTTGTTACTTAATCCCCTTGACCTGAGTTTGTTCTGGGAAGTGATAATGTAAGACCTGTCTCCCACAGGGTTGTGAACTATAATGAAATAGTGTACATAAAGTTCTTAGATAGTACTTGAAGGGTATGTCTTTACAGTGTTTACTATTACTTCCATGGGCTAAGCAGAGACAAAGAAGAGCTCAGGAATCTAATAGAAACAAAACAAGCACCAAGCTTTCCCATATTGACATCTCTGATACCAAGAGATGATTGTGAAGTTACAGGCTTCTTGGCTCATCAATGCCATGGCTGCCAAGAGAGGGGGTTGGGGGCAGTCCTTGTCATGCATTGAGAAAGGAGGGGGGCATTACTGACCGAGCCGATGAGGTTGGCTCTGTGACTTGGCGCTGCACTCGGACGCCATGGGCACAGTTCTCCTGCCCCCCCGTCTGGGTTGAAAGGGGAATGTCGGGGGACGTGTGGCTGATCTTCATGGAGGAGTCAGGGCAGGGGGTGGGAGGGTCTAGGAAACCCTCACTGTTCTCCTGCTCATTGGTCTCTGTGTCCGTGTAGTTAAGAGGCTCCTGGTTGTTGTCTTTGCTACCAGAGAGCAGGCCTCGTTCTCGCCACGGTACCCAGCAGAGTTTCCAAGACACGAAGAGAGATACGCCAAAGAGAGCGAGGCCACAGGCAGTGACCACAAGGGTCAGGAGGCTCACAGAGATATCTGCAAAGAAGAAAAGGTGAAAGGTCAGTGTGATTGTTCTCCCATGCCCTCCTACCACATCATCTGGACACAGTGACCCTCGCAGCTGCTCATCCCTCAGGAGTGACTGTGGAAGGCCAGAGCAGGGGATGCACCTGGGTCGCCTGATTCTGAGATAGGGAGAATGAGGACTCACACACAAGTTCAGAGGTGGTAACATGCAGGCCTTATTTAGAAACTATAAACACAAGAGACGGAATATTCAGGGGAACAGAAATGCCCCACAAGTCACTGAGACGCTCCTGTGGAAATAAATATCAATAACATTTCATGGGCAGGGCCATTTTGACTGTCCTTAAAAATTCCTGTGTCATCTCAGAGAGCTGTAGGATATAATTCAGGAATTGTTAAGTAATATCAAACCAGGACCTCAGAAAACAGGGAAGCAAATGGTTAAGGCAGTTCATTTTAGGACTCAGACAACAGGGAAGACAGTGGTTAAGGCAATTGATTGCTTGACTCCTAGCAGGGCAATCAGAGCACTCCACTGATTTACTCCCAAGCAATGTTGTCTGACTAATTTACATTAAACAATATTTCTCAACTTATCTTGATAACCAATTTCCAACCATCCCTACTCACTTTGAGCACCTGACTGGGGTAAGAAGAACCCAGAACATGTGTAGTTATACCCTGAGTGACCTGAAGCTTCCACCAGCCTCATGAGCTGACCCTCCATTTTCTGGACATGTGACCTGTGTGGAAGAGTGTCCCCTCCCCACGCCTGCACAAATGGCCAGCACTGCCTCCACCACCCAAAGACTAAAGGCTCCTTTCATCTCACTTCTAACCTTCCCCTCTTTTAAAAATTGTTTCATAACTTCATCCTGGGGGCAATCTTTGGAGACTTAACTTCCTGCCTCCTTTATATTCTTTCCTTGACAAAACTTGCATCTAGTCTATTGGCCAACACATCCAAACAACAAACCCCTTGAGTTTGATAACTGTAACAACTTTTAAAAACAAAAATAGAATATTTTCCCCTATTTTTGATATTAACTTGTAAGGGTCTAAGCAAGGCAGTTCAAGTCCTCTGTGGATTTCGCAGCCTTAGGCAGACCCACCACTCAGCGGTCAGGTGCCCGGGACCTGGATCGCCTGCCACGGCTTGCATTTTCCCAGCAGCAGATCCTGAGAGGGTATTCAAGGGAAAGCTGCTTGTTTAGAAGCAAAGAACACAAATGTAGGATTTAGGGTGTGAGGAGGTAAAGCAGTCAGTAAAAGGGCGTTGGCCAAGCCAGTTACCATGTGGGGACTGGAGGTCAAGCAGGCTGAGGAGGCTGCACATACCTCAAAGCCACCCTACCCAAGGGGGCACGGCCTGGGATATTTTTATCAACTCCTTTCAGCCCTTGATATGAAGGTGGTTCTCAAGAGGCATTTCCAATCTGTCACCTGGGTGGCAAATAAGCTTCAGTGGCCCCGAAATCACACATTCAAATAAAGCAGGCGCTGGCCACTGGAAGTCAGCAGACATTGGCAAGGCAAGGCAATAAGAGTCTCTGCTACTTGGAGCGTATGGCCTCAGCCAGTAACTTGGCAGTAGCTTTCATCCCAGCCTACAGTAAAGTCAGAGAAGCTGAACAGCAACCTGGACTCATTTCTGGCACTCTGCTGGTATAAATTTGCTACTTTAAAGAACACCCCACCTGGTGCCTCCCTGATGGCCTAGGGGTTAAGTCTCAGCCTATTGACTTAGTGGCCTGAGTTCAATCCCCAGCAGGGATCTAACCCACATATGGCACAGCAGACCTCTCCTGTTTCACCTGCTGCTCCCCTCGGCAGTGTATTTCAGTAGATCTGCCTGTTCTGCTCCCCACTCTGTCTCTGGTGAGTCCTCTTACCCCGCTCCCGCACCCGGCCTACACCCCAGTTCTTCTACGCAAAATTAAACAAACCAAAACAACATCCCACCTATCCTTACTATTTTCCACTACACGCAGGAGCAACAAGGATTCTCCCCAAGTTTTACCTTTACTGCCCATCATTAATATTTGCATTGCATTAGCCAAAGTTTCCTGAATGTCCATGGTATGCCAGGGACTCCAGAGATACAATGGGGAACATGACAGACACATTCCATATCTCAATGACTCATTTTCTAATGAAAGGGAAATTAGGAATTATTTAATATTTACAATTTCATGTAGCCACAGCATGCCAGCAATCCATGATACAAGACAATTTGTATTTCTGCATGTGAAGCCTTCCTGCAAGTCACTTACCTACTAAGCCAAGCTGACCACCTGCCATCTATGTGCTTTTCAACCTGAGTACAAAGGTACTTGATCATTCTTATGAAATGATAAAATAATTCTTGATGAAAAATTGCTCCTGACAGAAAGTCAGTTGCCAGTGTTGGTGATGGATATAATGTATCTCTTCTATGCCTCTCAATCAGTCATTGCCTTTCTGGTGAAGCAACACTAAAACTCTGTTTGAAACAGTGGAATTCCAGTTTTAGCAGCACAACTGAGTCCAAATCTTCAACCACGGTTCTCTCTTCAAGTCTCAGAAATGGGACAAGCAAACTACACAACAACGGAAAACAAGGATGGGTACCACGAACCAGGAACTTTGAGGAAATTTCTAGAATTGTTATAAAGGAGAAGCCAATCAGTGTTGAAATACTAACAGGAGGCAAATGAAGAGATACTGAGGTTAATGTGAAAATAAAAAAACCCAGAATGGAGAAGCAGGTAGTAGACTACCTGCTAGTGCAGCAAAGTCAAGGGTGCTGGAAGCCACACCTCCTTTTAGATGGGAGGCAGGGACTCTTATTTTCATTTAATTGGTCTATTGGTAAGTGCATTTTATTAAATAAACACTTTATTTTAGAATATATACATATATGGGCAAATATATATATAGGCAGAACTCCCTCCCCGCATCCTGTTAATGGCTTCAGCACTGTCCTAACAGATACTGCGAGGAGAACAGCAGCACAGGCTGGGTCTGAGCTACACTGGGAGGCAGTAAAGTCAGGAATGTGACGTGATAACTATGTTCTTATTTACCAAATCCTCACACCCCTCCCCAACCCCTCCCTTCCAAGACAGTTGCAGAAATCCCAGTTCCTTGATGTTGGTCCTGGTGGTGCGATCTGCTTTAATCAAGGAAATATGATTATAGATACAGCCCGTGCTCCTCAGATCCGAGGACTTTTTGGTTTCCATCTTCTACCACAAAAGAAAAGATCGCAAGTAAGGGTTGATCTTCTGGTCTGGGGAAAATGGGAAGACTTGTGTCATTGGCCCAAAGTCCAGGATGAGGGCTTAAACCTGCCCCACAAACTGGAGTCAAGCTATAGCTGATCCACAGATCCATAAGTAAAACTTAAGTATTTGATGTTTTAAGTCACCACAATTTTCAAGGTGTTTATTACCATGGCAAAAAGTTGACCAATATGCATGACATCTTAATTCACTGTCCAAAACTAGGGTATTTTTTAAAATGAAAAAGGGTAATATTAATAATCGCAGGGGACAAGAGACCACCCAAGAGTTAGGAATGCGATGTGATAACTGTGTTTTTTATTTACCATGTAAACTAGTTGTACCAACCTGATAAATTCATGGCTCAGGTGGGAGTTCATAAGTCCAGGGTGATTGTGTGTCCAGTAAATACAGTCTTCCCATTATTGTTCCCAGGTCAGAAGATCAACCCTTATTTGAGATCTTTTCTTTTGTGGCAGAAAATGGAAACCAAAGGGTCCTCTGATCTGAGATGGCATGGGCCGTATCTAGTCATATTTCATTGACTAAAACAAATCGCACGACCAGGACCAGCATCAGGGAACTGAGATTTATGCAACTGCCAGGGTACATTACTGGACACACAATCACCCTGGACTTATGAACTCCCACCTGAGCTCTGAACTCATCAGGTTGGTACAACTAGGTTTACTTGGCATGGATAACATGCACAGTAAGTTAAAGTCTGCACTCTCCTCTTCTAGTAACTATAAGATCCTGAACTTGCTCAAGATTAACTCCAGCTTATTAAGTGACTTCCAGTTCACACATCCAAAAATCAGCTTGATCACATGTCAAGTCAGGGGGAGTCCACAAGGGAAGGGATCGTGTCACCTCAGCATTAAATCCCAAGTGTCAGAAAGAGTGCCTAGTACGTAGTCAGCATTCAATAAATGTTTGGTGAAGTATACTTAAGAAAGCCTGTGGCCACCTACTGTTTATCATGAATTCTGATTGGGATCTCTAAACTCTAAGAGGTGCTGATCACACTTGTAGTCATTACAGATTTCTGTGCAGAGAGCCATTACAGAAAATTGCTGGCAAATGGCAAGAGTGGGTTTTTCTTATTCACACAACAGTACTAACATGAGTTAGCACTGCACCGGGGAATATCTGTGGAAGAGACCAATGGTGAGCTACACAGCACACACCAGTCGCTTGGTGTAACGATCTGGACTTCAGTTTGCCGAGATTTCAGGCTGCTCACTAGACACTACATTTGTACTTTTCTTTTTATCAGAAATCTGTGCTTAGAAAACTACTGCAGAGTTACTAAGGCCATACATCCTACCCACCTCAGACCCACAGCCTCAGGAAAAGGCAAAGGAAAATCCACTTAGAATAATAAGCTAGCTTTATTTAGAAAAAGTGATTTCTTAAGTGGTAGGCATATGGCCATTTGTTTTATTATTGATCCATAAACTACATGGAATCACTATATATACCCTGACATTTCTGGTATACTGCATGAAAAATTGGTAAAAAATAGTAACATCAGAAAATAATTATTCTAAAGATAACTTCTCTAAAGAATAGGAAAGTATAATTGGCCCCTTTGTCCAATAATCAATTAACTAGATGGTGATTCAGGGATGAAAGATAGTTAAGTGGCAACCCAGTTCTGATCCAGATGCCTGGAGGTGTTGTCACGTGGCAGAGGGGCTACCTGTGAAATGTGCCCAGGGCTGCTGTGGAAGTACACCGTTC